ACAAATAACTCGTTACTAGTACATTTTAGTGGGAATATAATCTTGAAATAATCCGTTATCCGTCCACTTGCGTCACTGGCTGCTATTTCCCACCTTGTTCAAAGTCATGCATGGTCGTTAGTCAAGAACATCGCGCCCCGACATCTCTTTGAAACCACCGTCTGACAATCACGTGAGTTATGTGGCATGTCGAAAGCACCACATTCGCCACCGGCTTTACGAGTGCCCTGTGTGACTGTGAAGTGTTTTAGTTCAGTCGTCTCTCACGTAGTACGTAACATTAACTAGTCTGTATCTTCGTGTATTTTACTGAAATATGATAATGTGTTGACAAGTGTGTCGTGTGTGCTGTGAATTGTGATCGAATAAAGTGCGACTTGCTGGCACGCTAGCCTATTGCTTTTTTATTCAAATTTATAATTCTTTTTGCTCTAGTGTAAATTAACCCTGTGGAATACTTTCTTCTGAATTTCGACTCCAAAACAACTCAAAACATTTCAAATAAAAACACACCCCAATGCAATAAAAACGTTCGTATCAAAATTAATCCAAATTCAAATCTATTCGAAACATATCACCAAACTCGAGTCCACGCGTCGCCGTTGTATTAAATTCTTGTATGCTTTCCCGTTTGTTTGGTATATGGACATGTGAGTTGTTATAATATTGCATGCTGCCCATTGTTGAACTGCCACATTCTCATTGGTCGATTGGCACTATGTGCAGCTCTGTTATTATGACAAGGCAGTGATTGAGGTCAACGAACGAACAAGATTGTGCAAATATAATTCAATACAATTATACAACTTGGAGCAGTCTTGGCTACGCATGCATTACACAAATCCAAAGGTCACTTGTTGAATCATTCATGGCGTATCACGTGATCACACTAACTAGTATGCATACAAACCATGCAGTTAATATGCATTTGTATTTAATCATAGATAGTTGGGTGGTTATGTCTTTTATATGTTTGTTGTCGTGTGTATTGCCTAATGTGCAACTCTATGAACGCCGGGCTAAGCTATATAGTATTACAGATACGGTATCACATACCACTAAATTATCTCAAGTGAATACTGTAATTGCATTTACGATTTTCACTTCTCTGTTTCAGCTGATAAGTGAAATGTGAACATTACTCATTGACTTCCTGCCAAAGTTGTGAAATTAAAAACCAGTAAATACGCTCAAAACATCAAAATAAATGGTTTTACACTATAAACAACAAACTGCTCTCACTAGTACACTCAACCCAACACAGTGTATATCAGACGTACGCGACACCAGAAAGTATCGACCTAAGGTAGTAAAGCTATTTCCGTGTAAAAATGCCATAGTTTTTTTTAATGTTTTATACATTGAGTTTTTCACAGTTTTCGCTTGTAATATCACCTTGTTTCTCCTGATTTTGTGTTATTGCAGTATAAAATGGCAGACCGCTGTCGCTACACTCAATCCAACACAATGTATATTACTAGACGTGCGACACACTATACGCCACCAGGAAGGACCTACCGAATCGTGCGTAGAAAAGCTGCTTCCGTGTAGAAATGCCATAGTTTTGTAAAATGTTTTATACATTGAATTGCCACTTTTAATTATCACTCTGTCTCTCCTGATTACTAAGGGTACATATAATATATTTTAGCACTGATAACACATTTGGTATTTTGTTACAGGAGTACGAGTTACATCTGGTTGGTTTCGAATTGTAAACATTGTAAATAATTAACCAGACGCTACACCTAATCCTAAACTAGGTGTCACATATCAAGATGTATAAAACCCCACAAATACGTACCTTAACTGGCATAATTGTCATCACTGCTACAAGTGTTACTTTAGTCAATATCACATAAGTTGCGTAGGAAAGCATTAAAGTCGCCATGTTTGAAATTCGAGTTAAGGTTTTAGGTAACCCGGAAATGGTTAATTAATAATTTATGTATTTAGTCCAAACAGGTCATTGACACGTGGGTAGAGTACACGATGCTCAGCTTTAAACAATGTATGTGAATTTGTCGCTCAATATAAGTTCATAACAAAGTCCCATACTTCAAATTGTCCCAGTTCCAGACGTAATGGGGTCAGCAGCAATCGTTATCAAGGGTAGAAGCGGTCGGTGGCTTCCTCCCATCTTGCGAGATGCAGCAATTACAAACATCGCTCTGCCGTGTGGAAAAGAGATTGTCGACCGCTCGCTGTGTTCCGAAGTCGCATACAACAACAAAACAAAACGATCTTCTCGGTTATCATCATGGGTACAAATACCTCTATAATGTATGTAATTTATAAATATACCATGTAGTCCTTTCAAATCCACATACGAAGTAAGGCCAGGCAATTCAGTCTCAAAAACGAATATTTTAGTGTGTGAATAATTTTTCTAGGTAAAAAATAGGCTGTGTTTTTTTTTTTTTTTTTTTACAAAGTCAGTTTATCATGACGTCAACATAAATGCGTTGAATGTCATACTTTTAGATCGCCATTGTCAGTTATCATTACAATTATAACTCCCCGCTTCCACAACAATATGACATGTGTTCATCATTGCAACAATCCGCCTATGAAAGACAGGAAAGGTTGGAATTGACAAATAAATACTCGTTTTAAGTCATATCTTCTGATGTCCATGTATAAAAACGATCAGTAAGGGTAAGTAACTTCATGCCATCAATTATGTGTTGTATAGAACGATGTTTTTGCTGTGTTTTGTTTTGTTCAACCCACCACCACCACTACTACAGCAGTAAAGTAAAATGACGTATCGTCATCAAACAGACAATTACCTAAAATACACTAGTGTGAGGTACAGCCAGTGAGTTCTAAATGCCACTAATTCCATTGCTGCTGGTTGCACCTCTCGTATTGTAATAGAACGGAATGTATTGAAAGTAATCTTGCACAATTATAATTTAGTGAGTGTTATCAAAATGTTAAAGCGGGGGAGTCGTCACCTACGCATGGGTCAGATGACCATAGCGTGGCATTGTTTACAAACAAGCGTCGATCCATGAGCCTTTGCGTTTTTAGCGTGTGTTGTTATCGTTGCTTGGGACTCAATTCCCGCGCGTGCGCAGGTGACGACCCTCCCGCTTTAAGTTTAAGGTTCCAGTTGAGGAAGGGTCTAATTCAATACATACTAAGAATTATTCAGATTTATCATTAAAATCAGTTTTCCAATTGAACACATCTTAATTACGTGTATTTAGTCTTTTTAGAAACGCGTACATTAAAATGACAAATTTGTCACATCCAAAATACAACACCATAATAGTGCAGCGACAACAGTCGCGACTACTGTAAGATTTAGGTTTAGCTATAAAAGTCTTGCATAATTAAATTTCTTCTTGAAAATTCATTGTTATACATGGCTGACGCCGTGTCAGCATACACTACGCAGACCCATAACCTTAAAAAGAGGCGCCCTCCTAACGTTAAAATTGGTGTCATTCAACTGCGTCTATTTGCGATCTGGGAATGACATTGTACAATGATTTGGTGAAATGCTTGTAATATATCTGTCAATAGCATTTTAAATAATAAAAGCATGAGTGACAAAACAGT